AAGAAAGAAAGAAAGAAAGAAAGAAAGAAAGAAAGAAAACCAATAAAACCTCAACACTTAGGATCCAGGAGTCCTGGTTTCTCTGCTCTCGGCTGACTTTTCCGAGGGGCCCTGCCCTGTATCTCTCCCTCCTGCATTTCCGCCCGGGGTGACGAGGCCAGGCGCAGAAATAGCTCTGCCTCAATTAACACCTTCTTCATCGGGGAAAGAAATAATTAGGACATCCCATATTGAGCAAACTTCACAAGCCCAGGAGAGAAGGAGTCAGGAGAAGCAAGAGAAAAAGGAGGAAGAAGAAAGCACATCTTGAATACACGTTTTCTGTCCCCCGTGGGGCGGCCTGGGGCCAGGGCTCTGCCTCTTGGGGGTCACCAGGAGGAGATGGCCCGTGGGAAGCCACTCCCGGCCAGATCCCTCTGCCCACCCAGCAAGACAGGCCTGAAGCCTCTTTCTTTTCTCATAGGGACTCCCCCTCGGCGTCACCGTCCTCTCTGTCCACCCCATGAATTCGTGGTCCCCTCGCCCCGTGACCAGCCCTGCCGATGGGCCCGTCTGCACCAAGATGGCCAGTGGCGCCCAAACTGACATACAGGCATCTCTCCTTATCCGATTCCGTTTGGTACTTGGGCTTCAGGGAGCAAAAGGGTTTGGAGAGCAGGAAACGTCACTGAGAATGTATCTGGGAGCTACCGGGTCCCCGTGAGTGTAGACAGTGGGGGAACGCCGTCCGGGGACCCCAACGCAAGGCCCTAGAACCACCGAGACCTCGAGGGCTATTTCACCCCCCCTCGCTCTGCCTGCAGAACTTCGGAAGCAAGCTCTCCCAGCTGCCCGGAGAAAGAAGCAAAACCCTGCATCTCCCTTCCGGGAGCTCGTCCCCAAGGGAGGAAGCTTGGGAAAGTAACATCATGCTGCTTGGACCTACCTGTCCCCTCTTCAAAGCAGGTGGTATGAAATTTTCCCATATAAAATTCTAACCCTATGATTGCAAAAATAAGAATTGCAAAAAACAGGAGGAGGCCAATCTGCAGCAGGGGGATCATTGCCTTCATGATTGACTTCAGGACGACTTGTAAACCTGGGGAGACACAGAGAGAGCCCCACAGCTCCGTGAGCGAGCGCCCCAAACCCCAGGCACCCCGAGCACACGCGAAGCTGAGGGCGGGGTAACAAGGCTGTTCGTTATACAATGGGAACGATCCCTCCCGGTGTGTGAGGGCACTTTTTATCTTAAAGTATTTTTGAAGTATTTGACATATGCTGTGTCATCTGATGACCTTTTAGGCAAGACAGGCGTGGAAACTGGTTGCTTTCGGAGCCGTCCTCCTAAGTGTTGGGCGGCCTTCACCCAGAGAGGGGAGCCTTTTCTTAATTCTTCCCACCGAGAGGGGGCGTCTTTTCCTAATTCATGCAAAGACTCCAGTTAGGTTAGCCCCACCTCTACTCGGGAAAGCAATCAACGTCCTAGTTCCGGTCCCGGGGAAACCAGACGTGATTTCACCAGCTTGTACCCCCAGCCCTTGATGTGGGCGCACACGTAGCCCCATTTCGCAGAGGTGGGAAGCGAGACCGAGAGAGGTGATTTCATCCCAGGGCATTAGCAATAACAGAGCCAGGGTTTAAGCCCAGGCCTGAGGGACGTCAGATCCTCGGTTTGCGGCCACCGTGCGGTCAGGGAAGTCTACGGTGAAAACGAGGGTCCGAACAAAAAGCCTGAGGCCTTGCTTCTTGATTAGCAGAACTCCGCATGGCTCATGATTAGCACCTCCTGGTGGGGGGAAACCACGGGGGTCCGAAATGGAAGAGCGATGTTCTTCCACCCGCCTGGCAGGGTGGGTAAGGCTCCGGACACTGGGTGGCGTCAGTCCCCGGGCCAGATACCCTGCACCCACCTGCCAGCCGCTAGGGGCTCCCAGCTGCCCCCCCTCTTTGTACAACTCGGTTATCAACAGCGGCCTCACCCAGGCGGCTGCTGCCTCCCCGCCTCCCACCCCCAGCAAGTGACCAGAGAGGTACAGAAGGCCAGCAAGCAGTCTCTTTGCCTCAGGTTGCAGGATACCTAGGGGGCTACTCACAGTCTAGAGCTCTCCACGAGATCAGGCTGAGATTGCATCCTTGCTGGGCATCTTTCCCGTTCCATCCCGCTGTCCTCACTCTCTCTCTCCTGACAGCCCCCTCCAGATAAGGCAGGGCCCATCTGAGCACCTCGCTAAGCCTGCATCGAGGGGCCCCGACCTCGTCAACTACGCCAGCCGTGTGACCTTCACCAAGGCAGGTCACTGTCCTGAACCTTGGTCTCTCCATCTGTAAACGGGGACTGGGAGAGCACCGCCCTCTCAGGATTGAAGGAGGGAGCTCCTAGCTGCCAAAGCACCATCGTAGGTGGTGATTAATAGAAACCCTTATTAGCGTTAGCTTGGGGATGATCCCTGACTCAACGCAATGCAGGCAGCTCCTGGAATCCTGCAGATGCTTCAGTAGACGTGCCTTCTTTCCACGAAAAGGCCCTGCTGGTGGTCATGGGGGAGACCTTACCCTTTAAATCTGGGTGGCAACGAACCCTACGGAAAGAGCCAAGGAAGTGGGCGAGGGTGCTAATGAGAGAAGCTACCTCACAGGCTTGTGGTGAGGACAAACGAATTTGAAAAATGGCAACCACTTAGAGCAGCGCCTGGCACACAACAAATTACTAGCGGTAGGACGAACTGAGGCAGTGGGACAGAAAAAAGGTCGGCCCTGTTTTTTTTTTGTTTTTTTTTGCAGCTGAACCTCCTTCTGACCCTGAATACTGCAGCTGTCCCCAAAGGGGGGTGGGGAATGGAAGCACCCTGAGAGAAGGAGAAAGCAGCACCAGATGCCTATGGACTTTGGAGCTCATCACCGTCAAGCTGTCAGAGTTCAGGTGCATAACTCAACCTGAGCCTCAGCCTTGTCACCTGTCAAATGGGTTCACTGGGTGACTGTGAAGACAAAGACATTCAATGCATGGAAAGTTCTGTCCCTAGCGTCCAGTAGGCAGCGGGCGCTCAATATGTGGTGACCGCCACTGCCACCAGCATTACTGGCCAGGCTTGGGGCCACACTTGCTAAGCCCCAGTCCCGCCATTCTCAGCCACGTGACACTGCTCCAACGGTTCGGCCGCTCTGAGCCTCAGTTTCCCCACCTGTCAAACGGAGATCTTGCCGAGGCCCAACTGCGGAGAGCTGTGAGTACTGACTGAGCTAACATCAACACGACTCCGGACAGATAGCAGGTGCTCAATAAATGAATGGGTGCTGTGGCTCTAGGTGAGGCCCCTGGCTTGCTTTCAGAAGCTCACCCAGACCGGCTGCCAGGTTCCTGGCGGCGGGCGGGCGGGTCCCTTGGGGAGCTTCCCCCAAGAGAAGGTTGCCCTGACACAGGCTGGGAGGCACTCGGGGGCCCCTTCTGAGATGCTCTGCGGAGGGGAACCTGAGGACTCCCGGGACCCCCTGAGCAGACCCCTTGCCAGGGTTGGAAACTCACGCACTTGGGATTCCAGACACCAGCTTGAGCGGTCTCAGCACTCGGACTGCCCTCAGGGTCCGTAGGTCAAACTCCGTCCCAACGGTCGCCAATATGCTGGAAGAAAGAAGCCAGAGCGGAAAACAGAGGGTGGGTTTCAGGGTCAGACAGGAGTGGGATTTGATGTTAGTTGTTGGCTCGGTGACCGCAGGTGCGGGACTTGACGTTGCTGGGCCTCGGGGTCAGGACCTGGAAAGCAGCGTTAACAGTACCTGCCTTATAGGATAAAAGGTGATTTGCAAAGACCCCGAGTCGGTGTATGCTTGATGGTGATCAGTAAATGCTGGACGGAGAGGGGCGAAAGTTTCCCATCACTCGCGGTCGGGGTGATGCTCAATATATTGCACAACTCGCCATCAGAACGAATCACGGGGAGGCCCGGAGGTCTGGGGGAGGGGCCCGGGAGAATGGCAGTCCCTTCGGGGCTCGGCATGGGTTCAAATCCCGGCTCTGCCATTTCCCAGCTGGGAGACCTTGGACAGGCCAGGACTCCTCTCCGTGTCTCAGTTTCCCCTTTTTTGTACAACAGGGGTAACACCAGTACGGACGACACCTCAAAGGGGTGTGGGGACTAACGACACGTTGAATTGATACGTGTGACGCGGTCAGCACTACTCAGAAATAAATGAGAAGGGAAAAAAACCCAACCAAACAAACATAGAAAACCAAAGCAAACAATGCGTGTGGCTCTGCTGGTGTGGACTAGCTTGGTCATCTGAAGAAGCGTGAGGCCGCCGGTGAGGAGGCCAAACCAGCCAGGGTGACAGAGGGAGGCGGCGACAGCCCATCACACAGGGCCCTGTGGGCCGTGGCGAGGACCTGGTTCCTTCTCCAAGTGACGCGGGAGCCACAGAGGGTTCCGAACACTGGAGAGATGGGATGTGGCCTGTATGACAATGAAGCCCCCTGCGGGGCAAGGCCAGAAGTTGGGACCTGGGGACGAGGCCACCGCACTTCTGGGTGAGACGCGCCGGGTCTGGGCGGGGCTGCGCGCGGGACCCAATGGGAGCCCGGAGAGGAGCTCAGCCCCGCCCTCAGATGAACCTGTGAGAGGGTGAGGTTCAAACACAGGTCCCTCCAGCCCCGTGCAGTCTTAACTGGCAACTAAAATGCACTCTCTTCCACCCTCCCCCCACGCTGGAAGGATGAGAAGGAATGAGGGGGGGAGGCGGGGAGGGCGGAGGAGAAGGCTTCTGTGGCCAAGAAAGCCCTATGGAGGCCGAAGTTTCATTCAGGATGTTGCTGGGGAGAAATGGGTGGGCTGGCGCCGGAGGCTCTGAACTGGAGGCTGAGGAGGTGGGCCTTATCGTATGGACAGTGGGAGTCATATAAGGTTTCGGAGCAGGGGAGGGATGTGATTAGGGTTGGCGTGGTAGAGACAGGGCTGACAGCTGACAGGACAGATGGGCAGTGATGGAGGCAGAGCGAGGAGGGAGCGGTGAGAGCAGGCCGGCGTAATGAGGGCTGGAACTAGGACAAAGGCAGTGGGAGTACAAAGGAGGCCCCAATTTAAATATAGCTGCCATTGATTGCTGGGCATCGGGGAGCTTGCCTGGGCTCATCAAATTCTGCATTCCAGCAGTTGGTAGGATGAGCCCCATTTTCCAGAGGAAACTAGAGCCCAGAGAAGTTGCTAATGCATGGAGGTCCATACCACGGAGCAGGACCTCAAAGCCAGGACCCCAGCACGCCAGAACCCCGGTTCTTCATCTCCTGCGGCTTGTTGGATGGGGTGGGGGCCACGGTGGGAAAGACAGAAGGGAAGAATGGCTTCCTGGCTCTGAATGAACCACTAGGCAACGGTCATTCACTTACTCAACAAAGGTTTATTGAGCACCTACTACAGGGGCCCAAGGATGCCGCCATGAACAAAGAAACAATGGGAAAACATGGGGTATGTCAGAAGGTGGGAAGTGCTATGGAGAACAACATGGCAGCCGCCAGGGCTTCCCGTGGAAGGATTAAGCGTCGTGGGATGGGAGCAAGAGAAATCCAAGATGACTGTAGGGTTTGGCCTGAAATACCTGAAGGATGGGGTGGCGGGAAACTGAGATTGCAAAATGGTGGGTTAGGAGGAAGATCAAGACCGGGCTGTGGACACGTTGAGTTTGAGATGCCAGTTGCTATCACTCCCTCGTTAAAACCTTCCATTGGCGGGGCGCCTGGGTGGCGCAGTCGGTTAAGCGTCCGACTTCAGCCAGGTTACGATCTCGCGGTCCGGGAGTTCGAGCCCCGCGTCGGGCTCTGGGCTGATGGCTCGGAGCCTGGAGCCTGTTTCCGATTCTGTGTCTCCCTCTCTCTCTGCCCCTCCCCCGTTCATGCTCTGTCTCTCTCTGTCCCAAAAATAAATAAACGTTGAAAAAAAAAAAAAAATTTAAAAAAAAACCTTCCATTGGCTTCCGTCAGGCTTAGCATAAAATCCAAACTCTACCGGGATCACAAGACCTAGAGTCACTTGACGCCCACGGACTGTCCTATCCCACCACACTCTGGCCACCCCGACCTTCTGTTCCTCCCACAGGAAAAGCTCCTTCCCACCCCAAGAATGTTACAGTGGCCATTTCTTCTACTGCAAATGCCCATCCCCTTAACTCTCTCCCTCTTTGCCTGGCGCCCTCTTCAGGTCCTTCAAAGGTCACATTTCGCCTTCTCAGAGAGGATTGCCCTGGCCCCTCTAGCTAAAGAGATTCTTTGCTCTCCAGGATTATATCGTTTATTAAGCTGCATTTATTATCCCCACCCCCCTCTAGAATGTGAGCAGCACAGAGACAAAGGTTGTGTGTGTGTGTGTGTGTGTGTGTGCGTGTGCGTGTGCGTGCGTGTAGCACCTTTTACGGCCTAGCAGGTACTCAATAAATGCCTGCTGAGTGAGAAAAGAGTGGTGGGAAACAGGGTTATGGTAGACCAGATGTTCTAGAATAGTACAGGGGTAAAGTGAAAGAAGCCAAGGGCCCCCAGTGGAATGTTGGGAAAGAGCAACATTTTAAGACACAAGTGGTTGAGGAAGGAGACTGGTGCACAAGAGGAAGTCACGGAGGTGGGTGGAGACCCGGCAGGGAGGTTCATCCTAGGGGGTCAAGTTCAAAAGTGTTTTGAGAAAGGCAAGGTCATCGGTCTTCAGGGCAGCCCAGGGATGAGTTGGGTGCAAGGGATGAGGAGCATCAGGTCACTGGGGGGGGTCTTGCCGGCGGAGGGGGGGGCTTGTAAGTGCTCTATAGCCCCATGGGGACAGGGGCAATTCCATCACTGAGAACGTTCCACTGGATGGTGCTAGTCTTGCTTCGCCCCACTAGGGAGGGGATTTTCATCTGTTTTGTTCACGGCTGTATCCCCAGTACCTAAAACTACGCCTGGCATACAGCAGGTGCTCAATAAATGCTTCTTGCATGCACAAACAATGAGGAAGTAAAAAGTAGGAGAGCCTGATGATAACAGAGTATATTCTGGAAGAGACAGAAGGCTGGGTAGAAGACAGGACTTGTCCTAAACTAGGAAAAGGATTGTGGAAGATACGATGGCTGTTTATCCAACAGCCAATCCTACGCCCTCCCTTGCCAGTGGATGCGTCTTCCATCAGAGTCAGAAAATACCCAACAGGAAGTCTTTTTTTCCCAGAATTCCTTTCCATGGGAGCCCTGGTCAAATGAGCCAGTCATGTATCTAACAGGACCTGAGGGGGCTGCTGGGGGCTGTTGGAGGCTTCTGGGGGGGGGGGGGAAGTTTTCTTCCCCTGAGAAAAGTGGCATGGCAGGAGACAACCCCTCCTTTTCGTTGGCTGGATGCTTTTGTGTAGACGTCTTGGAACAAGGTGGCCATCTTGGGACCATGAGTGGTAAAGGTTACCAGGAAAGTCCTTCCACAGAAGACGCCACAGTGGAAAGACAGAAAGGGCTCCTTGGGGACATCCCTGGGCTGTGGAGCCAACCCTGCCACCAGCCACCCTTCCTAGTGGATAAGAGCCAGGCGGCCTGGGTTCAAATCCCGGTTCCTCCAATCACTAGCCGTGTGGCCTCGGGTAAGTCACTCAACTCTTCTGTTCCTCAGTTTCCTGGGCCGTACGACGGGGATGACGATAGTACCTGCCCCGATAGGTGCGGGGGTTTATGTGATGTGCTTGGGATTTAGGAAGTCCTACACAAATGGTTGCTTTTGTCTTCTTCATCATTTTTCTTCTTCTTGTGTTACTTGGGGGTAAGTTATGCCGGAACCCACCAGCAAAGGCAACGGTCATCGCACTGTTTCCTTTGTCAGGCTACAGGCTTATTCTTTACCTACTGAGATCTCATTTCATCCCCCAGCATCTTTACCTGGTGAGGGTTCTACTCTCTTCTCGTGAAGAGGGAAACCGAGACCCAGGGCATGAGCCACTCGTCCACCACAATCACACAGCTAACGTGCGGTGCCTGGCTCTTGAGTCTGGCTGTGTCACCTCCACCGGGCTGCCCCTGGGGAACACCACCACCCCGACTACCCTCTCCTGGGACTTCAGCCACGCTCATTCCTCCACTAACCTGAGCGTAGAACGGAGCCAGATTTTCCTCTGCTGGCTGGAGGTCAGGATGTCAGGAACTATTCGTGCAACTACCAGGTGCCAGGTGGGTGAGGAGGGAAACATGTGCAAAGGCCCTGGGGCTGGAGAGACCTCATGGTGAAGAGTGAGGTTACTAGCTGAGAGGGAGGGGACGGAGGACAGGAGAGTGACCAGGAGGTGTTAGCATGGTCAGAAAGCAGGAGAGAGATGGAGGCCACTGTGGATCCCTGACCTCAGGTTAGAAGAAACACTTGCCCCCACGGCCAGGGTCAAATCTTCCTGAGATGGGTACTTAGGAGCATAACTGTTTCCCATGCAGTCTATATTCTTGCCATTCATAGATCGTGCAAATCCTTTTCAGGTTTATTTTTATATCACTTGGCTTTTACCTCCTCTTGGAAAAAGTATTTCTAAAATTCCTTAAAAAAAAAAAAATCTTCAAACAGAGAGAGTCAAGTTAATTGCTCTCCTTAGTTCATGGCATATTTATTTATACCTTTGGTCTTTGCACTGTCCCTCTCTGTTC